GAAGTCGTTGTCATCCTCCAGCAGCACGAGACTTATAGAAACCTTAGTGCACCTCTTAATGTGTTTGCAATAAAGGATATACCAGTGGAGGTCGCTAGCTGCAACATTCGGTCGGCAGGAAAGCTTCGTGTTCTGTACACCCATGTCACATGTATGTGTAGGGTTTGGGGTTTAGGGTTATAAGGGTTTAGAGTTACAGGTTGTGAAGGGTTTAGGGTTTTGGGCATGCATTGCTGTTGTATACTCAAAGCTAGTCTACATTGGCCCCTTTGCTGCCGAGACAAACAGACACCTACAGCATGGCCTGCATCGGCGGCTGCTTCAGTGCAGGCCCTTCACGGAACAGGGGCATCATGTCCACCGTCGCCCTCGCAAACTTCACGGGGTAGCACCTTTGCAGTCGTAGAGGCACATATGCTATAAATAAAGGATGGTATAATCATATATTATATATATTATATTTATAAGCGATACAATACTCCTCAATAAATATATAAATTATAAATATAAATAAATAAATATATATATATATATAGCATATAGTCTCGTACAATATGTCTATGTTAGAGAACCGAAAGACTTTTTGTACAAAGTAGATAGCAGAGGCTTAGGGTTTTGGGGTTTGGGGCTTAGGATATATGTTAGATCGAGAACCAAAAGACTTTTTGTACAGAGTAGATAGAAGAGGCTTAGGGTTTTGGGGTTTCGGGCTTAGGATAACAAAGGCAGAAGTGATCAATGTGGTTTGACCAAGTTACTGAGAAGTCTTCAGCTTGGCAGTACCAGTGACCCGCTTGCGGTTTTTCTTGTCCAGGAACCTGTAATACATACCATTGTGGTTTCCCCGCTCGTGCTTGAACAATTTGCCCGTCTTGAACACACAGATGAGGGGGTTGTTGCTGTAGAGCAGTGTGCGCTTGGGCATCTCGTGACCATATTTTCTCAACCACAATGCCACCTTGTAAACCTCGGCTTGCAAACTATGTTCCCGGTGCTTGTCTGTGCTTCTATAAAGGGTGCGGCTTATGCTTGACGTCAGCCTAGAGGCAGGTATTTCCCATGGAAGGCACACCCGGAGAAGCCACTGGAACCGAGTGTGCAAATAAAACAAACTCGAAGAGGGCTGCTCAATGATCCAAGTATTGCCGAGCACATGCGCCAGCAGCATAAGCAGCACCGACCTGCATTCATATCGAAGGGATTTACAGGTTCTAGATAGAGGGGGTGGCAGTACACAAACATGGGTTCTATGGACCTGGACCACATCTAATGTTGAATGCCCATGCACCTGCTTGAATAATTGTTTGCTTGCTGGACATGACGACGCAAACAGTCTCCCATGGGCATCAATGGTGAACGGCGGCTGGTGGCTGCATTCATGAAGACAAAGGATGAGCATTCCAGCCCCACACAGACCAGTGCCCGATGAGTGCACATGATCATCATGATAGCTAACCTCAGAGACTTGTTGCATGCAGGCATGCTGAACAGCCTAAGTATACTGCATGCATATATTCATGAAACCAAGCGACAAAAATCCAGCAGATTTCGTCAAGTCCATGTAGTTGTTCCGTCCACTGTCTTTTGCAGACTTATCATAACTCAAATCATGACATAACACATGCCATCCACGAGCTGCAGCCAAGCGCGTAATACGGCCCTTCCCAGCAAACAGCTCCACTAGGTCCACAGCCCTCCCTCCGAAAGGTGGCTCCACGTCCATCCAGCTGAGCATCAGGAGGATCGCCACAAAGGCCTGGCTTATGCTTGAGGATCGCAAGAAAGGCCCAGGGTTTATGCTTCAGGGTAGAAATATATGCACATACATCATGGAGTCTAGTGTCTGGGGTTTGGGGTTTTATAAGTCAGATGACATGTGCATATACGATTGTAGACATGGAGGTTGCATCCACATAGTTTGTTCACTGGGAGGAAAAGCAGAATCCTCAGTTCACATATAAACATACATGCAGTGCACATGGTCTGTCACAAAGCTTTGGGCTTCGGGGCTTAGGGCTGTTGCACTAAAGCTTTGGGCTTCGGGGCTTAGGGCTGTTGCAAGTGTTGAATAATGCACCCCCTGAGATTGTACTTGAAAGGTCTCCAACCCAAAGCATTTGCAGCATTATATATTGCTTACATGCAGTTGGTGTCTGGATCTAAGCTATATAGATTTGCAAACAGGTTCGGCAATGCTTAAAAACTGGACTGCCTATACATCAGTTCTTTATGATAAACCTGGGCCCCTAAACCCCAAACCCTACACCCCATACACCCTAAGCCTGAAACCCTGATTGATGGATGCAAGCAGCTTCTGTACAAAGGTTCCCGACATTATAAACCCGAAACACCACACCCTAAACCCAACACAGTCTAATAAAGCCCTAAACCCTAGACCCCAAACCCTAAAACCTATATAGCTAGCTTGCATGCGCTCTGCATGCTGGCCTTCGGGGCCCCCAGCTTCATCAGCTGTCGAGCTGTTTGCTCCATGTGCGCACAACGGGCTTTCCACATGGCTTGGGGTGTAGGGCTGCTGTAGGGAATGCTATCAAAACCGGGATCACTTTTAAGTTCAGGTAGAGAGTCAGGGATCGATCTATATCATACCCTACTACAATCACTGGCCATGAAGGTGCTGTCGACAGCTGTGTTCCACAATGTACAGATCTCGAGATCGATCTATATCGTACCCCATAAGCAACTACAATCACTGGCCATGATGTCAGGAGGATGAGCGAGGCATTCACATGCAGCAACCCAGTGTAGACCCCAGTCATGCCACACGAGCCCCACCGTGCAGGGTTTAGGGGTTTGGGGTTTATGGAAACATATCTCACTGGGATGGTCTGGATAAAGGTTTCAATCAGGCCTGAGACATTTGAACTCTACAGCTTCAGACAATATAATATACATATATAATATTATATTATATTATAATAAGAGATATATATAGTATATATTATATTATACGAGGGCTTAGGGTTTATAGGGGTATATAAGAGTTTGGGGTTAGGGTTTAGGGTTTGAGGCTTTAGGATTTGGGGGTTTGGATTTGGGGTTTGGGGTTTGAGGGTTTAGGGTTTAGGGGTTTGGGTTTGGGGTTTCGGGTTTGGTGTTCGGGTTTAGGGTTTGGGACTTGAAAGTTTAGGGGTTTAGGGTTGCATTTTGGGTTTATGGCCAGGGTTTATAGGGTTTAATAAACATGGAGAGAAACCAGAATGCTATACAAGCTAGTGAATGTACTCTACATGGACCCCAAAGCCACAAGCACAGATACCAACGCAGAAAACAATGGATCCTGCAGTCTCAGCTATATACAGACTCCTGATATAGAACATATAGATTAAAACCAAAACCCCCTCAACTAAACCTTATATAACTCCGATTCCCATAGAAACCCAATATGGCGGGGCAACCAAAGGCCACACCCATCTTCAGCAGCACGCTGGCATTCTGCGAAGGCCTCATCGTACCTGCAGCCAGTATACTTGCAGCACATGCAATGCAATGATGGAGTCAGCTCATGCACTCATGCAGCACACATATTTCGACAGCTTTCCCCTGGCCAGCATTCCCCGGCACACGCAGAAATCTTAAGTGCAGAGGTTCACCCCCACACCCTGATGAAGCACAAAAGCCCATGCAGCATCACTGTGTGCACCATGCTTCTATAATATATATCGAGATGTGTACCATGTTGGCTGCATGCACGCCTGAAGTCTGTCATTGTGTGCTGACCACAGTCGACACTGCAAAAGCAAAGCACTTCAAGGTAGCAGTAGCGCATGCTGCTGAAAAGCCACTGCCACACACATTCCATATTTCACATGTGAACTTGGCAAATTAACATGTTTCGAGCACCTGCAGAAAAGACCGCAAGCGCAAAATCACTGCCCGACGAAGTCCTTCAAGAAAGGGTCCACCTGGCTTATCGCCACTTTCATCAGCTCCTCTGGGCCCAGCTTCTTGCCAGCGAACAAAGGCTTGACACGGGCCCAGAACGCGTACTGTGCTGGGCCCTCGATCGCAATCTGCCGGGAAAGCCGGCTGTCATATACATCTCTAATCGCTGTCCACTCGGCCGCAGCTTGGGATCCTTCGGGTCTCCATCTGCGAGCAAAAGGTTTGACCTTCTCCTCCGACTCGAGATTCGACTTTCCCGCGGCCTTTGGCTTCTGCTCCGAATCGAGATTCGACTTTCCCACGGCCTTTGGCTTCTGCTCCGAATCGAGATTCGACTTTCCCGCGGCCTTTGGCTTCTCGAGACGTGACTTTCCCGAGGCCTTTGGCTTCTGCTCCGGCTCGAGATTCGACTTTCCCGAGGCCTTCGGCTTCTGCTCCGGCTCGAGATTCGACTTTCCCGAGGCCTCTGGCTTTTTGGCACTTGACTTTGCCTTTGCCTTTGCCTTTGCCCGCGCCTTTGCCTTTGCAGACGCAGACATCGGCGGCTTGGCTGCTTGCTTCTTGCCCTCATTGTCGTTCTTCTCCTCTTTGCCAGGCTCCTCTTGCACTGCCTTTTTGCTGCCTTTGCCCTTGCCCTTGCCACGTTTGCCCTTGAGCACGGCGGCAGCACGGTTGGCGTCCTCCTCGTTGTCTTTCGGCTCCACTGCCTTCCTTTTGCCTTTGCCCTTGCCACCTTTGCCCCTGCGCACGTCGGCAGCAAGGCTGGCGGCCTCCTCACTGTCTTTCTGCTCCTCGTCCGCACCAGCCGATTTCTCGACAGCCTGGGTGGCCTTCTCGCCAGGGCCCTCGTCCTCACCAGCCGAGTCCTCAGCAGCCTCGGCATCCTCACCGATGGCCTCCAGCTTGCGCTTCGCACCAGGGGCTTGTTTGCCCTGTCGACGAAAGCCAGGCTCCGTTCCTCGACCACGACCTCTGCCACCTCGAGCAGCAGGCTTCTTGTTCACATGCTGTGCCTTCCCACCACCACGGCCTCTGCCACGTCTGCCCACAATGCACCGAGTTTCGTCGATTTCAAACTGCTTCTTGCGGTCGAGCACAGCCTGCATGCATGCATGCTCTAGCTATGGTATAGAGTACGATACATATGATATCTCTCTATATACAACATGCACTCATCTATACTACAGCATGTATATATTGATTCCCGGATAGACCTTGAAATCCATCACTGAGAAATCCTTCGATTCCAAGGGCTCCACGTCGGCTTCGGGCAGTTTGGCATCGGCACTGGCAGCAGAGAAGGCTTCGGCTGCTTGAGATGCATCGTACTGCAAGGTGTCCGTGACCGAAGGATCGACACCTGATACAGCTGATCTGATCTGTTCAACATCATTCAATCATTCAATCTGTAAAGTTCACATGCAGGCACCTGCAGAAGCTTTATTAGCTATACGTATGTTATTCGAACATGCACACAAGCCACCCTGTTGTGCAGCATCCGGCTGCTGGGCTTTGGCGGCGAGGATCCGTGCAGCACGCTTCTCAGCAATTTGTGCCCTCGGAAGGGTGCATGTTTGCTTCAGAGGCAGAGTTTAGGGCTTCGGGTCTGGGTCGAGGCTTCGGTGGGGCAGAACCTTGAGGTGTAGGTTTTAGAATTGGGAGGAGTAATATAATATATGGGCTAATATATGGGCCTGTATAACGAATATATACTATAATACTCGAACATTGTAGCTATATTGTACTTATAATATTGTATAATAGGGTTTCGGGATTTGGGTTATAGGGGTATATATGACATACTATACAGGTGTCTAGCTTTGTTCTGAGATTCTGCCTGAAAGCACACAGCGCGGTTGCAGGATGTATTACAAAGAGTCTGTTTGGAAGGGGCATTCGGATTGCACTATTATATATGAAAGACATGCTGACATAAACACGAATTCTGAAATTGTAAACATGCTTGCAGATATCCTGTTCATGGTTTCCGAACCCAAGAATCCATAGAGCTTGAGATAAGGCAGAATATTTGCATGGGACAGATAAACCCTAAACCCTAAGCCCTGGTTTATGTAGGCTTATTTCGTGCAGGCCTTCTCGGGTGTTGTCAAGCAGTATATATACTATGATGAAGTTGCTCTCAACTCTGGAGTTAAGGAATATTGTGATGTAGGTTTAGGCCTACGGCCATCGAATAAGCCCATACAAAAATAACCCCTTATCATCCCAAAACCCAAAACCCTTATAGAACATTCTGTAGAATGATTTCTGCAAATAGGGCACTTACCCTAAACCCTCAACCATGAAACCTAATATATAAACCCTAATTTATATATATATATATTGTATCATATAGGGTATACATGCTGATAGGGTTTAGGGTTTAGGGTCTAGAGGTTTCGGGTTGTGTATATATATATATGGAGACATTGAAGGTCCTCATATACTATATCCTAAACCCTATAAGGTAAACCCAAAACCCTCAACCCTAAACCCACTTCCAAGTTATATGCATATATAACCCCATGGATGCCGAGATGCTTCAACGCCTTCAAACGCTCAATCTTGGGCCACAGGTCGCCGTTGACAGTGGACCCACTTCGCTTCGGCGGCTTTGCAAAGGAGGCACTTGTGTCAGTGGCACCCTGAAGCTTTGAAGGGTCTTCGTTCACATGTGGGGCTACCGGCTGACACACCACAGTATCCTGATAGGCTGGAAGGGAAGCTGGGGCACTTGCTGCAGGGACCACAGGAGAAGCTTCTGAGCTAGCATTGTCACTTCGTGGGGCACACGATACGGAGCTAGCATAGTCAATGGGTGCAGCACTTGCAGACACATCACTTCCAAGAGGGAACGCAGTAGGAAGGGAAGCTGCTGAGCTACCATTGTCCAGCGCTGGGGCACTTGCAGACACATCGCTATGGATCTCGGCAGGAAGGGAAGCTGCTGAGCTAGCATCGTCCATTGGCGGGGCACTTGCAGACACGTCACTCGGGATCACAGCAGAAAAGGAAGCTGCTGAGCTAGCATTGTCCACTGGTGGGGCACTTGCAGACACATCGCTGGGGATCACGGCAGGAAGGGAAGCTGCTGAGCTAGCATTGTCACTTCCTGAGGCACTTGCAGACACATCGCTAGGGATCACGGCAGGAAGGGAAGCTGCTGAGTTACCATTGTCCTTTGGCAGGGCACTTGCAGAAACGTCACTCGGGATCACGGCAGGAAGGGAAGCTGCTGAGCTAGCATTGTCCATTGGTGGGGCACTTGCAGACGCATCTCTAGGGATCACAGAAGGAAGCGAAGCTGTTGAGCTAGCATCCTCCATCGGTGCCGAATTGTTTGGCACTGCAGCTGCACACACATCACTTGCTGGCATCACGGCAAAGGAAGCTGCTGAGCTTATGTCGTGGTTCGGCAAGGAACTTACCACATCACTGACGGGACAGGAAGCTGCTGAGGTAGCATCGTGAACTGCTGGGCCACTAGCTGCAGACATATCATTCGGGATCACAGGACACAAAGCTGCTGAGCTAGCATCCTGTATTGCTGCACAACTTGCAGACACGTTGCTCGGGATCACGGCAGTGGCTGGGATCATGGGATGGGAAGCTGCTGAGCTTGCCAAGTCATGATTAGCAGCATCAGGCAGAGCACTTGCAGACACCACACTTGCAGCTGCTGCACTTGCCACAACACTTGCAGATGCTTCACTTGCAGTGCCACAGTCAGACATGCTTGAAATCAGAGC